TTTAGGCAAATTAGCTCCAGGAAATAGGTTCTCAGCAAATTGGCCTTTTACATTTTACCTGCTGGGGCCTAGAAATAGAACTTGGATTCCCTGCCAGTAGCCTTTGGTAGACCTTTGCCCTGGACTGAGGTCCAGATAGAGCTGGCTGTGCCTCATGGTCCTTGGAACAGGGCCGCCCACCCTGGATGCCCCCCTAGGGTGTGAGTGTCAGTGCAAGGGAAGCATTTGATGTCCAAGTAGCTGGCTCCAAGACTTGGATTCAGAAGGACAGCAAGGCAGCCCAGGAATACCAGCCAATCCCAGGGGACTCTTGACACAAGTCCAACTCCTGACCGCAAAGAAATACTGCATTTGTTTCATCCTGCTTTGGGAGAAAAGCACAAGTGTGAGAGGTTGAGTGATTTGACCTTTTGAAAATACCCTAAAGATGCACCTAATTGAGATTCTGGGGGGTCAATTCTATACAGTGCTAATGTTTCCTGCAGGTGAGAACCACAAGGTGACAAGAACTCTGGACTGTGGAGTCCCAGCTTTACTACTGTTTCATACTACTGGCAGTACCCAGGATGAACCCAAGCAGAATTAAATGGGCGTGTTGACCATCAGGGTCAGGAGAGAGGAAAGGCTGAAAGACAAAAAAAGGACCACTTTACTGTGCCCTGAAGGATGGATGTGGATTAGATCATTGTGGGTCAAAGCAGGGCAGGAACTTGAGGGAGTCTATCTCCAGGCCCTGAAGCGGAAATGGGCATGAGTGCTGGGAAGCCCAGTGCAGCACCTGGTCCATGACCCAGAATTGCTCTTGAACTTGTAGTGTTGGCAGGAGATGAGGCCCCAGGCTGCTGGGGTGGTACAGGGTGCAGTGCCCACAGCAGGATGAGGAAAATGCAGAGACAGAAACTCAGAATGGCAGTCCAGGGGCGTGGTGCCTGCAAGTGTGTTGGGAATGGTGACTTGGTATGGAGATGTTGTAAAGGTGCGGGAATGGGCATTGCCAGGGGCATAAGGGCCTGCCCTTCCCAGCATCCCTCAGTTACCCATCATGCTAGAGTAAGACAGGGCCTGCTCTGCTCAAAACTCATGTGGAGTTACCGATATTCTCCTGATTTCCTCTTCTATCACCCCCAAGGAGCCAAACATATTTCCAATGATTGACTTTTGTTCCCACCCTATTGAATGTTTGACCGTGGGAAAGGGGGGTCAAACTTCAGGATCTCCCTGTGTTTCCTGGGATGTTAAAAGTAATTCCTACCATGTATTTGGTTCAACTGGTCATTCCTTCCTTGCCTATTTTGATAGAGATCCTGGTGCCCACTTGGGCCACTGTTTCTGTGATGAAACCAAGTACATTTAGCTGTGGAAACCCAGGCAGGCACGCTGGCAAGGGGAGAGCTCAGGAAGTCAGAGCATAGCAGGACATGTGGATGCCGATGTCACTGCTGCCCATCTGCATAGACAGTTCCAGGGAGTCCTGTGGGCACTTTTCTCCTGCCCAAGTAGAAGGCCTCCAGCTTTCCCATCCCTGCTCATGGGATTATGTATGCTAACCTTCATCTTTTGCTTCTCTAGTAGAAACTGGCAAAGGTGGTACATTTGGGTACCACCCGCTTAGGACTATAGTTACTACAACTAACTCGCTCCCTGATATCCTATGCTTGTGTCCTCCCCCGTGGTTAGGGAGGTGCAGAGAACTGAGGGCAGGAGAGAATTCTACCCCTGAACCACCCACCAATGCCCAGAAAACTGAGGGAATTTTGGCAGAGCTGTAATGGGGAGCCTGAGGTCATGACTAGCTCCAAGTAGGTGTCAGTAAAAACAATCTTCCCAGGACCCCTGGCATTGTTAGATGCCTGTTTCTCAGCAGCAGGGTTAGCACTGTCATGGCCTGATCCAAAGATTCATGTTCTGCTCCCATCCCCCTGCTAGGGCATCTGGGTCTGGGATAGGTGCGACTTCCCCTCACGTGATGCATTTCCGTGACAGCTCATTCTGTGAATGTTGAGAGATCCGGGCACTGCAGGAGATACCAAGGATGTGACATCGTGTGTGCATAAGCCCTGGTTCTCGAGAGGGGATCTCTAGGGACTGGGTGCTGAGGTAGTGCCCTACAAAGCATGAGCAAGCAGGACCCAGAACAGTCACTGTGAGGTCATCCCAGGCCTTTGTGGGCCCCTAGACACAAAAAGCTTCAGGACTATTTGGCACAGAGTGAGCAGGATGTCAGAGCTGACTGTGATCATTACAGTCTCATCTTGGTTGCCTTTATGAATGGTGCTGGCACATTACATGCATACAGCAGGTCCTTTGCTACCACAGTGACCATCATCCACCAAATCTAGAAAGGAGAGCAGGACCTGAGCGTGAAGACAAAACCAAGAATATTCCAAACTGAGGGAGAGTCACAAAGGCCTCAGGGGTGGGGGATGCAAACTCAGCAGCTGGGTGATAGGAGCATGAGAGAAGGCCCAGGGACCACAGGGCATGCCTGGGGTTCTTCTGTGGAACAGAGAGTCTGTCTGCTGAAGAAGGGAGTGGTGAGGTGACCAGGGAGCCCCACAATCCTGGTGGCAAACATGAGGGACAGCAGCCTTCCAGTGGCAGCTTAACTTGAGACTGAGTCTGTGGATTATAAAATAAAATCCCTCTAAACTCAGGAGTGATGGGCAGAGTCAGTCAGGGCAGAGGGTGATCTAAAGGTTTCTGGGGTTAGTCCCTAAGGAAGTTGGTTGCTGCGAGATCAGGCCCAGAGATGCAAGGTAGCTAGGCCTTGGGCACCATGATGGGTCTGTCAGGAGCTAGGGCCTCTGATGGCATTGAGGAACACTAGGGTGAGATTGGTTCCTAGGAATCAAGTGACAGGGTGGTAAAAGCTCCACCAGAACAAACCACAAGCAGAGCAGACCAAGCTGGAGAAAAATCTACAGCCCCAGAAAATCACATGCACAGGGGGATTCATCCATGGTTGGAAGCCTGTCTCGAGTGCTGGGGGAGAAGGCAGCTGGGATAGAGAAGGGACCACCATGACAAAGATAGTTGGAAATGATCACTCTGGATAGGAACTGCATGCTGAAAGGAGGTAAAGGAACAAACACAATTACTTCTCAGTACCTGTATTGCAGACCATAGTGCCCAAAAGGTAAGAGAGAGAGAGAGAGAGAGAGAGAGACAGAGACAGAGACAGAGACAGAGACAGAGACAGAAGGAAAGTGCCTGCCATTGAGCCATAGAGGTCAGCTAGGGGATTGGGCATTGCAGGAGGAAAAAGGGGGTCATTGGTGGTGAGAAATAGACTCTGGTGGAAGGATGGGTGTTGGGTCATTATATGACAGAAACCCGGTCATGAGCAGATTTGTAACTGTGTATCTCATGGTAACTCGATTAAAAAGAAGAAGAAGAAGAAGAAGAAGAAGAATCATGTGCTCACATGCTCTCTGTCCCCTCTCTCCAAAGATGTTCCCTGACTACTGTCCAGAACCTCCCAATCCTCAACACCCCACCTACCCTCTCACTTCTCTGGCCACAGTCAAAATAGTCCTGGGTCTCAGCCATCCCCACTTCTCTGTGCCAGATGATATCCAGAGGTGTGGGGTTCAGCAGAGGACTACAAGGTCACCTCAAAAGCACCCGGAACTGGTCTTCTTCCAGCTTCCTTTTATTTGGAGCATCCCTGGGAAGTGTCAGGGTCCGTGACACGCACATACAGGGCTGGGCACGTGCAGTTTCCCCCGCCACACACACACATCCAGGATGCCCCCGATGCCAATTAGAATCTTCCTCCAACAGGAGCAGCCCACACAGGTGCCCAAGGAGAGGGTTGGCATCCCAGTCACCATGCTCAGACCTTGCCCGTCACGGGGATTTTATATTTTAATCCCTTGAGCCCACATTCTGGCACAGGATCTCCACAAAGCATCCTCCCAGGCAGGCTGATCTTCACAGGCAGAGACAGTGTTACAGTCCTCAGTGAGAGGCCCACTATCCTCAGACTTGAACTTGGTGGCTGATGTCTATCCCCATGCCCGTTAGAAAGCCCCACGGCAACATGGTTTGGAAGCTGGCCCCACGTGCTGGGGGAAAAGGCAGTTGGGATGGAAAAGGAACCACTAAATCAGTGATGGTTGCAGGGATTGCCCGGGATGGGAGATGTGTGCTGAAAGTAGACCAAGGACCAAACAGGATGGCCTCTTAGTATCTGTATTACAAATCATAATGCCCAAAATTAGAGTGAGATTAAGAATAAATGTACCCGCCTCAGAGGCAGGGAGTGGGATGGGGTTGGGGTGGTGGCTGGGACACTGGAAACAATGGTGGTGGAAAATGGGCACTGATGGAGGGATGGGTGTTCGAGCACTGTGTGACTGAAATGTAATCAAGTAAGTTTGTAATTGTTTCTCACAGTTATAAATAAAACTTATAAAAAAAAAACAAGAGGGGGCTAGAGCCATAGTACAGCCATAGTAGGACATTTGCCTTGCATCAGCTGACCTGGGTTCAGTATCCAGCATCCCATATGGTCCCCTGGCCACCGCCAATAGTAATTCCTGAGTGCATGAACCAGGAGTAACCCCTGTGCATCACCGGGTGTGACACCTCCCCCCCAAAAAAGAATATACCCAACCTAAAAAAATAAAAAATAAAAAGAAAGTCTCATGGCATCAAACTGTCTTTGCAGTGGCCTGTCCTGGGGAAGGCTCTGTGAAGGTCCTGAGTTTCCGTGAGTAGAGAAGTGAATAATGTTGCTTCTCCTTCCTGATCCCACAGAGCCTCGGTGATGGTCAGGGATGGTCCCCAAAGGGCACGTGGGCCGGATGCATGAACCAGAAAGAAAGTGGGGTGGGGGCTGCTTGTGGCGCACTCAACTCGCTCACGTCACCAAATTGGTGCATTTGAACTCAGGACCCACCTCAGTGCCCAGAGTCCCCAGGTGGGTGCACGTGGTGGGCACAGCTTCTGCCGCCACCCCTGGCTCACGTCTGCCTCTCCATCCACTTCTGCCACAGATCCTGGCGCCCCCGTGAAATTGCCTTGCCTGCCAGTGAAACTGTCGCCTCCGCTACCTCCAAAGAAAGTCATGATCTGTATGCCTGTCGGGGGGCCGGACCTCTCCCTGGCGTCCTACGCGGCCCAGAAGAGTGGACAGCAGGGCCACCACCACACGGTCCTGCCCTCCCAGATCCAGCACCAGCTGCAGTACGGCAGCCTCGGCCAGCACCTCCCCGCCACCACCGGCTCCCTTCCCATGCATCCGTCCAGCTGCAGGATGATAGATGAGCTCAACAAGACGCTGGTCATGACCATGCAGAGGCTGGAAAGGTAATGTGGGGACAGGAGGGCTGGGGGCCGGGGTGAGGGGCGTGGAGGGGACCCGGAGAGGGGGCGAGAATTATGACCCGGGCTCCAAGGTTCAACCTTCCCACCGGGGAAAACAAAACTTGTCAATATAGTCAGAAGAAAACCTGGATGGCAAGGGAAGCAGAGAAGAAAAGATCATGTTGATGAGCTGGAGACAGAGTTCAATGGGTACAGAGCTCGTCTTGCATGCAGCCTACCTGGGTTTGATTCCTGGCATTGCATAAAGTATCCTGAGCACTTCCAGGAGTGATCTCTGTGCACTAACTCAAGAGTAAGCCCTGAGTACTGCTAGGTGTGGCCCCTTAGTAAACAATGACAACAGGGCTGGAGCGACAGTACAGAGGGTAGGGCGTTTGCGTTGCACGCGGCTGACCCAGGTCTGATCCCCGTCATCCCATATGGTCCCCCAAGCACCACTTAATCACTTAATCACTTAACTTCCGGTTAGTCGTCGATTTGCTCGAGCGGGCACCAGTAACGTCTCCATTTGTCCCTGTCGCGTGCTAGTGTAGCCCAATGGCATCTGTTCGCTCCGGGAACATGAAGGGCCTCAAACCGATCGTTCATAATCTTGACGAAGAAGTCTGACCATCTGGTAGGTGGGCGGCCACGCGGTCTTTTGACATCCCGTGGAATCCAATCAGTAACAGCTCTAGTCCAACGGTCGTCTTTAAATCTCATTATGTGACCAGCCCATCTGATTTTCGACACCTTGGCAAATGAGACAGCGTCCCTGATCCTTGATCGTCGACGGATGTCAGAACTCCGGATTTTTTCTCTCATTTGAGTGAAACGTGATATTCCAAGCATAGCTCTTTCTATTCTTCTTTGGGAGACCTGAATAGCATTCTCATCCTGTTTACGTAGGGCCCAGGTCTCTGAGGCATATGTTAATGCAGGAAGAACAGTGGAATCAAAGAGATGTGCCCGGAACCGGAGGTTCTTCGTCCTCTTAGCTATTTCTTCGACGTTCTTGAAGGCGTTCCAAGCCGCTCTCTTCCTCCTGCGCAGCTCGGGTGCCAGGTCATTGGTCATGTTGACCTCTCGACCTAGGTACACATAGCTGTTGCATTCGGAGATGGTCGTTCCATTGAGAGTGAATGGGGCATCAGGAACAAGGCTGTTTCTCATAAACATTGTCTTCGTGAGATTCAGCTGTAGTCCTACCTTTCCACACTCACGGTCAAAGTCGGCCAGCATTTGTGCCGCTTGGCTGATGTTTGGTGTTATTAAAACAATGTCATCAGCAAAGCGGAGGTGGTGTAGTTGCCGACCATCTATCTTCACTCCCATTCCTTCCCATTCCAGTCGTCGCATGATGTTCTCGAGGGTGGCACTGAAGAGTTTCGGTGAAATGGTATCACCCTGCCGCACCCCTCTCTTGACATCAACGATCACTTCTTTGTAGAATGGTGAGATCCTGGTAGTGAATCCGCAATACAGCTCACGGAGGATCCTGATGTATTGGGCTTGAATGCCCTGATTGGCTAGGGCTTCAATGACCGCTTCCGTCTCAACAGAATCAAAGGCACCACCAGGAGTAATTCCTGAGTGTGAGCGCAGAGCCAGGAATAACCCCTGAGCATGACTGGGTGTGACTCAAAAAGCCAAAAATAAAAAATAAAAAAACAGAAAATCACAACAACAAAAAAATGTTGCCCATTTCCAAATTCTGTCCAAAGCTTCTGCATCCAAAAGAAAAGGATTCTACTCAGAATATATGTAGAAGTATGTGCAAATATAGGCAATTCAAGGATCCCAGAGGTGCATTAGTTATTATGCTTCTTTAAAGCAAACTTCTATGAGCCTTGAAATCTTTTAAAGCATACTCATCTGACCATAAATAGTGGTTTTCTGAGGAGCAGAGATCTAGGGAGCAAATCTTACAAATGTTTTTTATATTTTACATAGTTTTGTGCTGCTTAACTTTAAAGTTTGTATGTATTATTTTTATGAGTACAGAGCCAGGAGTAAACCCTGAGTATCTCAAATCCAAACAAAAACCACAAAAACACAATTTCAAGGCATATTCTTGGCCTAGTTGCTGCACATGACAAGATAATAGAAGATCTAGAGTTCAAGACAGTACAGGGGTTGAGACCCAGCATGTGGCTGAGTCTGGTTCCATCCCTGTCACTATATGGTCCTTCTCTCAACCTCACCAGCATTGCTGGGTGTGGCCCAAGAGGTCCCTGAACACTGCCGGGTGTGGACAAGGTCATACCCAGCCCCACAAGGTCCAAGCAGCACCGTGTTCTCAAAACCCTCGGACCCTCGTCCTTGTAGTCTGTGTTGGGACCTAAGTAACTCGGGGAGGACAATGTGACCACTAGGAATTTAAACTTGGTGGCTCATGTTTCTGTCTACTCATTCTCGTTGAAAAAATAAAGTGGATTTTGCCCCATGTTATCTTTTTCACAACTGCATTAATGAGAACAATAATAATTTAAAACTGTGATGGTGCTTCTTAGTTTGTCACATACCTTTTTGAAATATTATCTCACGCCTCGTCCCATGGAGTTCTTGAGTCATGGAGAAGCTAAGGAAGGTCAAGTGAGTTCCCCAGTGCCAGCTGCTAAAGGCCCCCCAATAACTGTGGCCCACCTACACTTATGTATGTGCAGAAATGCTGAGCAGTGAACCCTCTCAGAGAATAATCTGGGTCGACCCTCTCAGAGCATAATCTGGGATAATCTGGGTTGTTGAGTCCATAAGAAAGAGAATTTCGTTTTGTATACATTCAGATTAGATGTATGAAAGCATCCCTTTGTGATGGATTAAAAATTGAAATACAGGGACCAGAGAGAGAGTAGAGTGGGGAAGGTGCTTGTTTTTGACACGCCTAACCCAAGTTCGATCCTCATCAGCATATTTGATCCCTATCAAATGTGATCCTTGAGCACAGAGCCCAGGAGTAAGTCCTGAGCACTGCCAAGTATGGTCCCTCATCCAAAACCAAACACAACAACAACAACAAAAATTAAACTTTAGGGTCAGAGAGATTTCTCCCAGGACCGGAGATCACTTGCGTGGTGAGCCCTAGGCTTGAACCCTGGTACCACCACATGATCCTCCCATCCCCGCCAGCAGCAAACAAACACCACAGCACTAAGCCAGGCATAAAATGCCTGATCACCACCAGGTGAGAGCCCAAAACCAAAAATAAAATTTAAATATATAGGCAAAGAAACAGAACTGTCCATTTTCCCATGACATTTTGGAATAACAACTGTATGAAGGCTGAAAGGAGACCAATCCTTCAAGCTTGTGTCTTCCTACTACAGATCCAGAGCTCTTTCTACTCAGGGCACTTGCTTCGGGAAGACGGATCACTTGCAAACATGAAAGCCTTGTAACTGTAGCTTACAGTAATTCAATTTTTTAAAATTTTTTAAATAAATTAAAAAAAATGACAGACCACTGGGCACAGTTTCCTGTCCCATTCACTGTTTTCCCAGCATGTGTTATTCCTTCCCTTCCCTTGGTGGTGTTGCTCTTGGATTCCTTGTGTCAGGACCTCATGCTTGGCTGCAGTACCATTTTTTTACCCCAGCAATGCTGGGGATTGTAATGTGAGGGCAATATCAAGGATCAAATTTGAGGCCTCACCCATCCAGGGTAGGTACTTTACCATCAAGCCACATCCCTGCTAAGTCACTTTTATTGTTTTCGATCTCTAAGAGATTTTAATCACCCAAAGAAGATACTCAAGAGTGCATACTGGAAAGATCTTGACAAATAGGTTTTTACTTAAATGATTTTATAAACTAGCTTTGTCCCATCCTGTTCTTCATAGCAGATCCCCAGTGTGTGTTATGGAACATTTCACTGGGGTCCAGACCAGTGGGGTTCTGCCATACCTGCTCTGGGCTTATGTTTTTTAAAAATTCCTTTGTTTGTTTGTGGGTTAACCCAGCCATGCTTGATAGCTACAGCTAGCTGGGCTCTTAGGGGTCACTCTTCACAGTGCTAAGGGACCTTACAGTACCAGAGGTCAATGCTGGGGCCCCCACATGCTCAACATGTGCTCCAGCCCTTTGCACTATCTCCTCAGCCCCAAGCCAGGCTTTTTATTGAAGTTAATCACAGAGAACAAAATTGGGGGAACAGGAGCTAGCCGGCTATGAAGCAGGAGAGTATGATCTTGTTGGCTGAGCTGACTCAATTTCCTATGCTTTGTGCACCTCCTCTGCCTGTACTCCCATTAACTTGTCTATGCCCTTCCCTCCCCGCTCCTGGGTTGTTCAAATAGAGCAGACAGAATGGAGGGAATTAATGCATACATCACTCTGACAAGATCACCCTCCAGAGGAAGAGGATTTCTTCCCAAGCAAAGCCTGGAGGTGGTGGGCCGAGTTGCCACACCACCTGAGGCGGTGGAGTCCTCAGCAGGTGAGGGAACAGGAAAGGTCACAGGTCCTCTCATGCTTCCACGCAGGCGTGGCCACTGTCTGCGGTTGATGTTCTTTTTACTACCTATGAGCTCTCCTTTTTGCCTGCCACTATGATTTCTTTCTCTTTCTGACCAAGTTTCATAAAGAAACGTAATTCTCTCTTGACCTGGAAATTTCCAGTCACCCCAGCAGATGGTACAAGGCAGTAGAACATGAGTAGACACTTAGGAGTGCTGCCCACCAAGCCCCTGGATGCTCTTGAACCGCCACCCACAGGCTGTCATTCCCAAGCTGAAGTCTTTCCGGGGGACCACTGTAGGCAGTGAGAAGTGCGGATAAGGAATTAGTATTATCACCCAACACTGGGTCATAAATTAGAATAGACGGTCATCTCATTATTAGAAAGGATCTTAACAAGCATCTAGCAACATATCATTGTCTCATCCCTAAAAATTGTCCTCTATCTTTGCAAGAACAAGCATTTCTCTAGATCCCAAGAGAACAGCCCCATTGCAAGAAGTCCTGCTTATTCCCAAGTCCTCTCATGTACTAAAAGGTTTTCATTTC